CACACACACACACACACACACACACACACACACACACACACACACACACACACACTGCTGTCTGAGGTATTTTTAGTCAGACTCAGATTGATGCTCCTGCCAGGCTATGCTAATGCCAGCCTCCATTATGGCAACACTATAATCTCTTCACATTACAGCAAGACTCAGGGACAGTATCCAAAGCGCGCGCGCGCGCGCGCACACACACACAAACACACACACACACACATAATCTCTGACCTTGTGTGATGAATACTGTGTGTGCGAGATAGAGATATGCTTTGCGCACTGCCAAGCCAAGCGCAAACTCTCCATGTCTGTGGCACTGCCAGCTCACACACACATATACGCATCCAGCACTCACACACTCGCTTGCTTGCTCACACTCTTCCTCGCTCCCTCCACACTGGCAGACAGTGTCACTGAATGAGATCTCTTCATTGTGAAGGACTAATGAGCCGACAGTGATGAAGATGGATGAATGGATGAGCACATCAGTTCTTACAACAGTGTCACTTGTGAGCGAATCCAGCCTCACAAAATGAGCGACTGTTGGCTTCTGATATCAATATTGACTTACACAGTAATAGATAAATGAAATTACAAGTTATTTAGAGATTTACAGTGTTGCTTTTTCCCCAATCTAGTTTACACATGGCTTCTATAATGTTTTTTTTTCTCGGTCTCCTGATGTATTGGATTTGCGGAAATTAATAAGACAGACTTGCTATTGTTTCAGAAAATTCCCCAATAACATCTTACGGCACTGTCAATGCCAAAGCATGAGGGAGGTCAGTGGCTTGTAGTCCTACATCTTTATGAATGTTGTGCTGCAAAAAAAAAAAAAGGGAAAAAAAGTGCGCAGTGAACACACACCTCTCTTTCAGTACTTTGGACTCTGCAGGCAGCAGGAACAATAAAGCCTTTCAGTAGAAACAGTCTCCTTTATTATATTGCACCTCACAGTTGGCACTCAGTAACAGGCAGACAGTTGGCTTTTCCCCTCTTTTCATTTTCAATCTTTACTTATTTTCCTCCTTCTAACAATTACCTCTATCACTTCCCTTCATCTGTCACCCTCTATAAAAACCCCTCTTGTGTCTTGGCAATAAAATCAGCTGTTCAATAATAATCTGCTCTTTACTGCAGACTAGATCTCCCTGTCTTGACTGGGGCAATATTAGACGTAAAATAACAGTGTCTTTCTTTGCTTGGGATACTTTAAATGAGGGGTAAGGCCAAAAAAGATTTGTGGATATATTTAAACTGCAGTCTATTGCTAGCCATATGTTTTAAACTAGAGCCAAATCAGCTGACTTTGTAATGCACTATAAAGGAATACAACATTTGTTTTCCACTAATAACTACAAAAGATGATCCAAGAGAGAAAAAGATATCAGTCAGAGCAACTAAGAAAAAGAAGAAGCAGTATTTCTCCCTGGAGTAATTTAGATTTGGCAGCATGGCGCTGTACACAGCCCTCCTCACCTTTCTACGACTACAGAAACAATAAGGCGGGAAGAATAGACTAGGCATCTGCAACAACAGACATGATACTGATTGTCAGACACATATGGGTTGATTTTGGATTGTAAAGTGGCTTGCAGATGCAGGCAGAAGTTTAATATCAGAATCTGAGATTTGTCAGCCATTAGTTGTAGTGGGATGCCACTGACCTCAGTGTACGTAGAGGTGTTGTGTCTACGTTCCACGAGGATGACTCTGTGAACAGAGTGAGGCCTGTCATCACCAACATCATCTCAGCCATATTTAAAGCATGCCAAGCTTTCAAATACTCACTTTGCTCTAAGCTGGAACAACTTTCTTATTAGTTTCAAATTCCTGGTTATCACTGAAAACTAAAGAATCACTTTAAAGCACAATATACATAAGATGAGAAAACACACATACACTATACAGACATAGACCCGTCTGCGCTGTTGGCACAGAGTTTTATGAATAATGGAGCTATTGAAGCGTAGAGACAGGAGAGCTCTCATAAGCTCATGGCTCCCAGGCCACAACACAACAAGACAGAGCTTAACAGGAACATAAACTCTCACATACCCTCCAGTATCTAAACACACGCACATTTGTGAATGGACAAAAGCATACATGCAAGGCTATATCCCAGCACAGCCTGCTATCTGCTACTTTAACTCGCTGTTTTCGAATTGAAGAGGTCTTGGGTGATTTCACAGATGTTCGCTGAGTGCAAAGTTTCCCAGCTAGCATTAAAGAAGTGATCACAAGAGCACTAAACTGTGCTAAGGTCTGTGAAACAGAAAGGCCGAAGCACAAGGCTGCATGTCTATGCACGCTCAAGTTTCTGCACTGAACTGCAAAGATGCTGCAGTATTTCAAGGGGAAGGACATCAGCACTCTCATCAGCTGCAGCTACGTGACACAAGAACAGAAGCGAGCACGCACACGCGCGCAATTCACGTCACACTCCCTGGAAGCAACAAGAGGAGCAGCGAAACCCTCACACTCCTGTTGGCTGCTATAAAAGGAACGACTGGTCCCATTGTTCCTCCGAGACACCCCGAGCTGTGTGTTGCAGTGTTTGTGTGCATCCTATAACTCTGGCTTCATGAGTTGAAGAGTCTATTATTGTTCCTCTTCATCACATCACATCACAGCCCTGTGAGCAGGCACACACACACAAACGTTTGTATGTATTCATAAACAAGGATGTAGGAGAATATATCCCCATCTAAAAAACTGCCCTTCTCAGCACACACACACACACATGCATGCACATGCAGAGGCAAACACAAAGTCCTTGCATGTTCCATAATGGATCTTAATAATAAAAAAAAGCCATTGGGGCCGCTGACACTTGCATTCAGTTCAGCTTCAATAGACATGGAGCAGCAGCATGCCAAGAGGGAATGGATTAAAAGTAAAGAGAAAGACAGAGAGAGAGAGAGATTCTGGGTGGGGGGGTCGGGCAGGCTGTCCTGTCAAAACCAGAGTAAATTGAGATGGGCAGACAAAGCAGCCCGCCTCCAGGGTGAAACGGCTTTTTCAGAGTGGGGTTAGAGTGCAACTTTACTGTATTGTATGCAGTAATGAATAAATGGATATCTGCAGTTTAACCTGTAGACCACCACTGCCACAGGTCACAGTGGAGATCAAGAGCAAGCCGAGCCAGAGGGGGAAACAATGAGGGTCAGATATATGAAGAGACAGGTAGGTGAAAAGGAAGCAAAGACAAATAAAAACATTACAGAGGGAAGAATGAAGAGATGACAAAATGATGTAGAGACAGAAGGCAAGAAGTTGTTGAGAGGCCGGTTAAGAGAGGGGAATCACAACAGGAGCAGAGCAAGGAAAACGTGTGAAAAGAGTTGAAAGATGAATTGTGGATGAAGCAGTAAGGCAATGTGAATGAAAGGGAGAGGAAAGGAGAATTAGAAGTCTAAAAGGAGGGAGAACGGGGAGGGGAGAATTGAAAAGGCAGGGAAAGACAACAAAAGAGAGAACGTGGAAAGGAGTGAACAAAACAACAGGATATAGACATTTCTGCACTTCAACCCTGCAGCCAGCCTGCATGCATGCAGTCTTACAAAAAAGGAGAATGCAGCAGAGGTAGGGAGGGAGGAATGGAGAAGAAACAAGTGAGGCAGGAGGTGATGGAGAGAAAGGAGCCAATTGTTTCTCCCCTAGGGGAAAAAAGAGTTCCCTGGCCTGTGAGCAATAAGTCTAAGCCTCCCTGCAAGTGAGAAATGAAAAGCGGGAGGGATGGATGGATGATGATGAAGAATAAGTGGAGAGGGTGAGGAGGGGAGGGAGAGCTTTACAGAGCAAAATAGCTGTAACAGCAGGTAACTGGTGGCTTTTGCACCAGTTAATTTGCTAAGGGGGCGACAGATGGGACGAGCGACGGGGTGAAAGAGAATACAGTAAGATTTTTTTTTAAAAGTTCGTATGTAATTCAAAGCTCTCACTTGAATTCTCTGTTTCTTACAAAGTGTGTTTTACATATGAATGAGGAATACGGCAGGAGAACAGCATAGGAGTTCCATGTATTTTTCCATAGTTCCATCTTATTTTATGATTTTTAGCTCCCCAACTCGGTCAGGTTTAAGAAAAGACTTGGCTCACTGTAAAAGAGATACTTGCTTATCATCACGGTGATGAGTCCCCCTCCCATCTATACTATCTAATTTGATTGGTTTTCTGTGGAGCACTGAATGCAGGAAAGCAGTCAGTGCTATGGAAAACATATGTTGGCACACAAAAGCCTTTATTAAAAGTCAGTCCAGAGAAAGATCTGCTTCTCTCCCATTATCACTGACAATGCAGCTCCTTTAATCTATGGCTATTTATAATTATGTGTACTGCTGAATTGTGAAATAGTGGAAGTAAATCAGAGGAAGGGAAGGAATGCAAGAGAGAAGACAGTAGAGGATGGACGCAAAGAGCGAGAAGAAGGTTAAGAAGAGGGCTGGTAAGGTGAACAGATAAGTCTTTTCCAAAGAAACCAAGATGTTTTTCCAGAAATACTATAAAGTCTATAGTTTTGAAATCATATGACCACATAAAAGAGTTAACTGCATTCTCATTGAAACATGTCATTTTGACATAATAAAACACATCTGAAAAGAATTGAAGCTGGAAGCACAAATGTTATGCCACCAGCTGTTTTCCTTCTGGTTATTTACTGCTGTTTTAATCAAATTCAGAAATTGTTTTGCAATAAATTTGACTCATGTATTGATGAAGTGATCATAATACGTGTCAGAACGCAAAGCACTAATAGTCTGTGTCACATTATTTTTCTCGGATTAAAAGGATAAATATTAACTAGTGACAGCTAAGTCACTAGTAAGGAAATGGTATTCAGGGTGTAAATGTGATGGTTAGAGTGAACCCATCCAGGGACCGAATGCATCTGTACAATATATAGTAGCATAGTATAGTGAGCATGTCAAATCGTGGACCTCCAATCTAAGTTACCACCTTGGCATTTAAAGAATACTTTTTAAAGCACAGTTGTGTTTTGATTCAGTTCTGACTGAAAATTTTTGGCTTGCCAGTTTTTGCCCCATTTCCAAGAATGAAAAGAAGCACGGAAGCAGAAAGTCTTAGATGTGTGAACGGGGCAGGTGATGCAGGGAGGCATTGCTTAATGTAAATGCTGCAGACTTTAACAAACAAATTCTACAAGAGTCATGCAAAACTGTGACTTTAACCATGAATACAGCTGTGACAGCGCTTTGGTCTGAAGCATGACAGCGTTTTGCTTTTTCTGGGAAGGACAACGAGGTGCGCAGCGCTTCATTTCCCTTGATAACTATAAAAATAAACATTCATAAAGACAGACCACCTATAGTGAAAAAGCAGTAAGCTGAAATGATGGTTTTCTGCTATAATTATGATATAAATGGCCCATAAATGTAAAAAAATTACAACTAAAAGTTGAGTTGAAAAACTTTTAAAGTACATAGGAAAAAAGGGCACAAGCCTGAGTCATATGAAGGCTACAAAAGAATTTAATAAGCATCTCAGAAGTTCATTCTTATTTGAAGTGTTTTAAGTCTTTGGGCAATGCTAGTCATAGAAGCAAAGTGAAGCTTCACGCACACACACACTCAACAGAAACAAAGTAAGCCCTAGCTTTAAGCCAAAAGTGAGCACCGGTCTTTATGGGATTTAAGCTGAAACATATTGAGAAAGAAAAGCGAAACAGTCTGAAGCAGAGTCCTCGGGTCCCTTTAAAAGAGTGTAAGTGAATGAAGGAGCTGGAGATGCTGTGGCAGTCCGCTGGTCCTGAGCCATTTGGCCCAGCATCACAAATGGAAAACTTCCCAGTCTACAAACCCCATGGCTAGCATTTATTCAGTTTGACTATTCTTATTATTCAGAGTGTGAAGGGAAAAATAAATATTGAAACTGGAGTCACTAAAACTTGCTAATTGGGTGTTTGCTGTCCTCACGAATTATGCTCATGCTCATACCGGTCTCATTTGTGAGGATGGATAACTTTTCAGTCTTTCACCAGTTTTGCCTGTATCGCCAGGATGGGAAGAGGTGATTGGAGTGATACTACTGAAGAAAGAAATCTGCTTAATTACTGTGGGAAAATTGCCTTGCGGTCATGCAGCTTAAATCTCTCATCTCATGGAAGAAACTCTGAAATAAGAGATAATGAAGGAGTCACTAAGGCGAGGGCAGCCTGCTGGTCCCTGGTAGCTATCCATTTGGCTGTGTTAAGCCCTGAAGCAGCAGTAAGGCGAGACCTTACAGAGCAGCCTCTGGTCTCCTGACTGGATCTGCTCCAAACTGTTCCCAGAGGAAAGACAACTCAGTTGACTCTCTCAAATGAAACAACAGAGCAGATTTCAAGTAAACACTCTGAGAGAAATCCCACATGTCATCGGCATGACTTTTAGAAAGATATTTTAGTTTGAAGTGGTGCGGGATTAGCAGTGCTGCACGTGGTGGTCATGTCACAGGCACAGCAGGCTCAGGGAACCGGGAACTTAACGGCACAGCAGGAGTCATGATTTCATTATTACTTCATCTACAAGTTAAGTCCGTTTGTGGTTGGAAGTGTCTTTCACTAAACTGAACTAATTTTATTGACTTTACGGACTTAAATGATGATCTTACTGGAACAGAGTCCAAATTAACTTACCTGCCTATCCGTTTCCAGGGGAACCAAATTCCACAGGAGTTCAGAACATTCCAGGTCGGGATCAGCATCCACCTGAGCCCAACATGCCTCTGGCAGCGCAGACAGTATCCATTGTTACCACA